TAGAAAATTTTCTAAAAGATCTACTCAAAACTGTGCAATTTCCAGCCATTTGAAGAACATTTTTCTTTTTTTTTCTTCCTTTTTTTTAAGAAAGATAGAAAGACTGAAATAGCGATTAGGATTATATTAAATATACACCAACAAAACACAGGACCACACACCCAACATCTGTCCGCTCACCAAGTGTGTACCCACCGAAGAACATTTTTCTAAATTTTTGGGATTAATAAAACATAAAATCAGTATTTTTATGAAGGTAGAACAGTGAAAACCAGACTTTAACCTGAACTTTATCTGAGATCATAACTGAAACTTCTGTCATCCTTATTTTATTTTTATTTACACACTGAGCACTAGCAATTTATTTTGACTGCATCATATTATACTGGTTTGTGGCATCTCTTATGGACAGCACCCTGAGCATTTGCCTGTACTGCCTATGCCACAGTGCTGACTACTGAGCTGTCCTGCTGCCAACTTTGTGTTTAAACTTTATTTGTGTTTTTTGTTCTTATTGTTGCTTTTCATTTGCAACTTTGCTGTTTTTATGCGTTATATAAAAGAAATTATCAATAACATAACCCAGACTAACCTGTATCATCAAGAGACTTGTACCAAATTCAAGCCTGAATGAGAAAAACTCCAAAAACTAAAGCTTAAATATCTTAAAAAGCTGAAAAGCATTATTATTTTTTGATATCTTACAATGTTTACTCGCCTACTATAAACTGCACTTGCACCAAATTATTAAATGTACTTAATTAAAAGTAATTGCTGAATATAAATATTTAAACTGGCCATATTACTGATAAGTTTCCATTCAAATGCAAATATGGTGAGAAGATGACAASAGATTATTTTTAACTCAGCATGAGGGAGGCTGAGAGAAGCTGCTGACAGCACAGCTGAGGGAACAGAATGAAAACTCCTACATCTATTGTGGTGTTTAAATAGGAGGATGTGCAACTAAAAGATAAATATGTTAAATAATCCTTCAGTAGAGTAAAAAAAAAAACAAAGATAAATGAGTCTTTCACTGTTTACACATCTGTCACACCAGTGGAGACTAGTTTCATTGGCACAGGTAAACCAGCACCTGTATCAGTCCAGTCTGGGACRAGATGCTTGCTCGTACTCTACCTTGGATGGTCCAGTCACCCGGGAGAGACGTCCTGTGTTCCGACACTTTGGGCAGGACGTGAATGCTCCCTGAGATAGTCTCGGACGCTTTCCTCGCCAAGGCGAAGATAGGACCCTGCCATCGGCCGTCGCCTCCGCCTCTCACCGCGTTGCCGCTCCCGCTGCTGGAAGGTTTGTCTCCGGAACCAGATTTCTCCTCCTGGAGCCTCAAAATCCCAAACACCTGACCTTTGTCTTTGCTGCCGTCTGCTTCAGACAGAGCCAGGTCGTGCTCTGCAGTCGATGCCATGTTCGTCCGATCCCAGAGGAGCTAGCTGTGCTCCCCGATGCGAAAACAGCACAGTTTGAAGCGTGCTAACGGTTAGCGAGCTAGCTTTTATGCACAAATTACCATCTGACCATCGCATAAAAAAATCCGTGCGACAAACCACAGGCTAAAGGATGGCAAAACTAACCAAAGCGGGGGGAAATCAACTGTCCTGGTCAAGTGTCCCCGCGGTATACGGGGCTGCCAAATCTCTACAAGGCGTCACTCCCACAGTGCGCTACAACCGGAGGCGACAGGACAGTACCGAAAACTGCCTTTTCCCCAACATCGTGTTGCTGGAGGTGTTTACAGCCAGCAAACCTGAGAGGCAGTTGACGTCTCCACGGTCCCGGTGCTGCACCCTCCGGAGGGGCGGTGTCGAAGGGCTCACGAGACACAAAAGGCAGCACTACGTAATGATTTTACAGGACCGCTGCTCTCGCGGTCTGCTGCCCCCTAACGATGAAAGCGAGAACTGCATGTCGATGTACAGATACAAGATCATTGCTGTGTATGGCAAACCGTTTGTGTATTTATTAGATATCCCTGACTTCAAACGTAATTTTCGCTCGCTAGTTTGTGACTAGAGTGCACAAATTGTCATTGTTGGTGCACTAGGTCAATAAACATTCTTACTAGTTTGTTTGTTTGTTTGTTTGTTTGTTTGTTTGTTTTTTACATTTTTTTTCATTGAACGATATTTTGTAATTGAATAGCACATTTATATGTTATACTTTGTGATCAATCCTTCCTTTTAAACCACTGGAGAATCAATCAACATTTCCAACACCATGAATGGTTTCTATTACATGTTATGATGTGGAATTTACACCCAAACGTTTTTGTAAGACATCAAGTTGACTGTTATCGTAATAGTGTTGGACATTCAAATGTCAACACCCATCATTCATACCTTGGCTGCAGGCTAACCGCTCCAGACTCTCACTGTGAGTGATGCCCCAACGATGAAGGCTCTGAGGGGAGTACATGGTGAGAGAGGGACCCTCGCCTGCCCACGGCCTCGCTGCAAGGCGGATGAGTCGTCCCACAGCGATGAAGTGGTCCAATCTGAAGAGGTTTCAAGGGATCTACTGGCAGGATTGTCAGGTTTCCTTTTTTATTTTACATCTGAAGTGAAAGTATCTCCTGCACCGTGATGGTTTACTATAACACTGTTCCAGGTTCATCCGTTTGAGCCACAAACTCAGGATCTGCACAATAGGATTGCTTCTGCTGAGGATACAGAAACAAACAAAACAAAACAAAAAAATCAGTAATTGTTTTTTTATTATTATTATTTTCAATCAGAGACTATCAAGACTCACAACAGATTTAAATTCTGCTGGCTCTGTTGATGCAAAATAAAAACGCATTGATGAACACATATTTGTAGCTTTCTCATCAATGATTCGATGAATGGATAACATTGGAGAAAGGAACTAAAAATCTGTTTATAAAAGGCTCATTTGAAGTAAACAGTGATCACTACATGTTCTGTTCCTTTACCATAGAACTCCCCTCACACAAACACGCCCTTTACTAACATGAATTATAGATGCTGAAACAGTCGCCACTTACTACGGAAAATTTCCAGATTAAATGTGAATATCACTCACCACAAATGAACATATTATATTCCATTTTTTGAATAAGCAACTCATCCAGTGGGTTTCCACCTTATCAAACTGTGTCTGAAAAAGCCTGTATATTTCTGTCACTACAGCTCCAGGAATCTGTGTGACTACAATCACAGCTTTTCCTCTCTAATCACTCAGGCCTGACCAGAGATCATATGACCAGTTCTGAACACATCTGTGCCTCTTTATCCGTTTCTCTGCTGGATGTTTTAATTTCCTGAAAGGCTGTTTTTTTTCTGAAAGCAGCTAAAACCCAGGCAATGTGTACTTATTTTATATTTTCTTTTGTGTCATTCATTTATTCGTAAGAGCAACTTCGTGGTTTATTTTTCCTGCAAACAAATAAGTTTTTTATACCTGAAAAAGTGCAACAAGAAGATGCATATAAAAAAATGACATTTTACTTTGGAAGAAAAACATATTTAAACGTTGTTATTCCGATTTAATGCRAAACAAATAGGATAAGATCCAGTATCCATAATGATTACCTTCAGTTTTCTGTTTAATATCAGACAATCTAAATTGTCAAACTGGTGAGTTTAATGCTGCATCATGCTAGCCTCTCGTCTCTTAACCACACCTAAACAATATGCATCACAGTGTGCGTTGGCACCATAGAATCACTTTACAAACACCCTGCTATATAAGAGACATCTACACCAGCCAATCAGTTCACTGCATCAGAGCCTTTTTCTGATGTTTTATTGTAGTAACCTTTCACTCTGCAGATAAAATGCAGCTTTTCTAAACATCCCCGAAGCAATGATCTTAGATTCACAGAGAAGACGCGACATTAAATCTCATATAAACTGAAGGAATATAAATGAAGGCAGCRTTCTCACTGTATAGGTTGTAAACAACTGTACGTGGTCGCTGTTCTAATCCTTATTAGATTTGTCACGCTGATTAATTAATCACACATGTTCATTACTGCAGCCTACCTCAGAGTGAAGAATCCCAGTGCTGATCTGTAGGATTTCAGCTTGTCTGCAGTCGCTGCACGTGGACAGGATGAGCCTGATGCACATCAAAGCCTCAGAGCATCAGCTCCAGCTGCTGCAGCTCCCAGCAGAAGCACGTCAGCAACGATGGACAGAAACGGATGTCTGTCGATCTGTGTTATTCCASATGTACACTGAGGCTGCAGCGTCACCACGAGTTTCTGCAGATTAGAGGCAGTGAGCCGGTTCACGCTCTGGGGATGTCACCGACACAAACCACAACCATCACCCCACACGGCATCCAATGGTGAGAAAGCAGCAAGGCTTCAGAGAGGGTGGGTGGGGGGTGGGGGGTTTAGAGTAAAACAGCAAAGATGGGAGAGAGAGAGGAGGATGAAGGAGGCTTGGGGAGGGATTAAAAAAAGATGCCAGGATTTGATTGAAATAAAAACACAGCAATATTTAAACCCACAGCTCAGCTGAATGAAATGAAGCRATGAATGAAAACATCAGTTGTGTTTTCAGCCAATCAGAGGCTGTTTGGAGGATGTCTGAGACAGGAAGTGATTGGATCATTTAGACATGAATGAGTCTGRATCAAGAAGAATGAAAATGAACTTAGTGAGGAAAATCAGGAAAGGAAAGGATATTAGTAAATTAGTGTTTGGTAGATTATTTATTTGTTGTAATGCTTCTTTGCAATAAAGTTTATTGTGGGCACCTGATTGGCAGTATCTGAGGGTACCAGAAGCTCAAAACAAGTGTCAACAACAACAGCAAAATGAGCAGAGTTTTGGTACATTTTTCATGTACTCAACCCACATACTCGGCTCTACTGCTCATCCCACAAATGTGTGTTCCTTACAAATGTGGCTCCATTTAAAAGGGAAATGAAGAGGCTTTCCAACGGTRTAAGATGTGTTGCCAAAAAGCGTTGTTACAACAAAGAAATATCCTTCCAAACACAAATTTACGTACTTATCGTGCCAAATTTACAACCCTTCAAAACTGCAGATGAGACACTAACATCTAATTATTGCACACGCATTAACATTCAAATTAGAAATACTTCAGAACACAATGGGTATTTTTATATATTGTATCTTTATCAATTGAAAAAACATTTTTGTGGTGCTTGGATTTGAAAGATTTATTTCCTCTTGGATCTTTAATACTAATAATGTAAACTGATTGTTTAAAGCACCACCTTAATGTTGCAATTTTTTCCATAAACATTTGCTAATTTGTTTATTTGTGAGTAAAAGTACTAGATTATATAACCAGGTGTTTGTGAATTGAGTGCAATATGTGGAGCAAAAGTAATAAAGGAAATCATCTCTCTGTAACCATAAAATATTTATTTTAATAATATAAATAGTAGAAAAAGCACTCTAAGAAAATAAAGTTATTTATGTAGACATTTATCTCTTGATATTTTTGGTCATTTTTCGTTGTGTATGTTGTCTTTTTGGCACTAAAAACAAAATGTGGACATCAAAACTTTAGTATGTTAAGGTAAACTAATGTGCAATGGCAACAGTAAAGTAACTTTGCTGGAGAAAAGTTTAAAAGCTACATTCATTTATCTATTTAATAAAAAAAAACTTGCTTCCTATATATTTGGAAGTTTAAGATTCATATGAACCTTAATTACATCTCTATTTCATTTGTTTTTATCTAAAAAAAATAATTTCAACATAAATTCAGAACTTGTCTTTTTCCAAACTACAGGTAAAACTTTACACGGAACAAAACACATTTTTAAACAAATATGTTTGAGCTTTCCCAAAGAGAAGTCCTGCAGTGATTAACAATCTGATGTTTTTTGTTGCTTAAACAAGAAACAAAAATAAATAAAAATTCTGTCTCAGAAACATGAAACTAYTGTTCTGAACCAAGAACATCATTGAGCGTGAGACATTCTCGTCCCGCAACTTAAGTTCATGAAAAATATCTGCAATATTCTGGAGAAAATTACAAAGATATTAATAAAAATTATTCCAATTCTGGATGGAATTAGACGCAGTCATATTCAGTACATTTCAACAAAGAATGCATGCGGTCATAAAAATAAAGTGGCTCAGCAAAACATTGTGACTTTTTAACCAGGTAATGAATTTTAGGAGAGATATGCAGTTTATAAAAATAACAATCAATGCCAAAGTATGATAAAAAATAACTATTTACAAGCTGTAAAAAATGAACACCTGAGAAACTACGACCCCCTTTTCAGTGTTTTAGTTCTCAAATTCTGCAGCATAAAGCACCTGCTGAAACTTCATCCGCACCTCCATCCTTCGTTTAATGGTGAGTCTCTTTAATGAGGGAAGAAGGCTGAGCAGAAACAGTTCGTCTTCATCTCGGAGGGCGTCTGCACAAGGCTTAGTCTGTGTGCTCGTTGGTTTTTTGCACTTAAGAGAAGCTTCGATAGTCTGAACGCTGCTTGGACTGGAATCAGCAGGAGACAAAATGGTAGTGATGACTGGAAGAGGGTTAAGCTGCTCCTTTTTGTCTTCATCTACGTCATCCATTCCTTCCTCCTGAAAGATAATTTATTGTCTCTTTAATACATTTCAGGCTCGTTTTAATTTTTTGATTATATGAACCACATACCTGTTGGCAAGCATGTGTTGTTACAAGAAATAAAACAAACACAGAGATGGGAGGGGTTTTCTTTTAATCCTGAAAGCTGAAACGTAAAAAATAGATTTGACATAAAGTCAAACTTCTAAACTTGACCAAATTAAGAAATATTTGTAGTGAATGTTTTTATTGGTCTTTTGTTTACAATTATTCTTATTTCTATTTACACATGCTATTTTTCACAATAATTTGTGTTGTTTTTCAAGTTTTTCAGGACACACAAAAACAAAACCACTTTTTTGAGATTCCTGACAAACTTGGGGGTCTATGAGGCAATTATTTTAGGAAGGTGTCGATTTTAAATTTGCTTTGTCGCTCATCAGCTGCTTTTATTTTGAAAAACTAGAAGCGGATGTTGTTAGAGGCGACACAGAAGGCGTGGGCTTGTCCCGCAATTTCGCTTGTCTAACTGCTATTTTGAATATGATCAGATAAATAAAATAATAATGTACAATAACATTGGCTGTCTCTATCGTACAACATGTGTCAAAATTTAATAAATACAGAAACGCTACTACGCTTGTCCACTCGCACCTTTGTTGTGTATTTCCGGCAGCTTTCTTCTGTTCGCGGCTGAACATGAGCACCGAGCCAGGCCAGCTGGCAGTACAGCTTCGGGATGGGCTTCTCCACCGGGTTCCCCGCGCTGTCCTCCACGTGGAGGAAGCTTCTCTTGGCGACCCGCTTCTTCGCTTTACAGAACTTGTCGCGCAGATTTCTCCACATCATCCGAACTTCTCCCTCCGACATTTCCATGACGCCGGCGATTTCTCTCCACGACAAATGCCCCCTCAGGTTGTCCTTGTAGTCCCGCCGAGACTGGTCGTACAGATTCGGATGTTTGCGCACGAGCTCCGCCAGCTTCATTTCTGTCGGATCCATGACTTCGTCCGCTCGCAGCGAAGGCTTTTCGCCAGCAGAAAACGACTTGTCTCGACTGGCTCGCGGCGGTCAGGAGGAAGTACGGTGCTCCACGATTTCAAAATAAAAGCTTTGCATACGTTTTGTTTTAATCATTTGTTTATATTCTTCCTTTCATGTGGCATAATAGAAACGCCTAAAAAAGACTAACATTCAACAGAAACAAAATGAGCCGATCTTAAAAATTTACATTTTTTTCTTTTAATGTGTGGAAATTTGTGTTTGTAGTAGCAGTACTAGATTAACATCAGATGTTTATGAATGGAGTCCAACAAATGAAGAAAAAACAAGATATTTATTTGTAAAATATACCTTGTATAAATAGCACCCTTTAGRAAAATAGCTATTTATGTGCAGCGTAATCTATCATTTTACAAGTCATTGTTTATTGGAGTGAGAATAAACAAAGAGAACTAAAATATGAAATCAAACTTACCTGCAATTTGTAAGTTCTTGATCAGAAATTTTTACTTTGCAAAAGAGAAGTTGAGAAACTCTGTCAAATATTTACCACAAACTAAATAAATGAATTGCTTGCCATATAAAGCACTTGCTCCCTATGACGCTCTATATTTGACTGTTTTAGATTCACATGGCCTCAATATTTCCTTTGTTTTATCTTAGCAAAAAAAAAAACACTTCAACATAAATTTAGAAATTATCTTTCCCACAAACGAAAAGTAAACTTTATCTAAAAGCACATTTTTAAAATGTGATGTAAATTAACGCTCTCATTGCTTATGCTGATCAAAACATTTTATATGTGTAAAAAAAATTGGGTAGTTCAGAAAAACGAGACTTTTTGACCAGATAGTGAATTTCCAAAAGATGTACACAGCATAAAAAAAACAAGTTTTTGATTTATCTTGATTAAAAAATAAATATTTACAAGTTGTAACGAATGTACATATAACAATCAACAACCTCTTTTTAACTATTTGAGTTCTCAAATTCTGCTGAATAAAKCACCTGCTGAAACTTCATCCTSACCTCCATCTTTTTTCTGTTACTCAGCCTCTTTATTGAGGGCAGCAGGCTGAGCAGAAACAGTTCATCTTCATCTCTGAGACCGGCGAGGGTGTCCGCAGAACTCTTCTCCGTTTGTGTGCTCGTTTGTCTTTTGCGTTTAAGAGAAGCGTCCACAGTCTGAAGGCTGCTAGGACTGGAATCAGCAGCAGAGAAAATGGTAGTGATGACCGGCAGGGAGTCCAGCAGCTCCTTCTTGTCTTTTTCTGGCTCTTTCTCCACGTCGTCTATTCCTCCGTCTATCTACGTGGCAGAAAMACAAGTGGTGGGGTGGGGGAGTAAGAAGGGTGACGCATTAGTTGAGAAGATAAAATTGTAAATTTTATTATCAACTAGGTTTGATTTTAAGGTTTATGATGGTAACAATGTGAAAAATAAAACATATTCTTAAATTTACTGTAAGATTTTCTGTTATTTTCTTATTATTTTTTAATCAGCTTGTTAAAGTCAGTTATCAGTCATCTTTCACCAGCTGCTATTTTTGAAATTAAAGAAAACTTCACTGGATTTTGCTTGTGAAAAAATAAAATTTTGTTTATGATTGCATAAAATGAATAACAACGTAGGTTACAATTACTGTGATTGTTTCTAGATCAGAATGTATGAATTTATTTTTTTGTTTTAGTATTATCGTTAACATGTTTGTATAGATGTACTGTTGATGTCTGTGACATAATCGCTGTTAACTTGTTATTTCCAGCAAAGGATCTATAAAGTATCCATGATATTAATAACAAGACCAGTGCATTATATCCACGGTCTCTTTTCTATGTTTTCATGTTTCTCTCTGTTTCGGGTTGAACAATAAGCTCTGAGTTCATACTCTGTGAGAAGTGAACAAACAAAGCTCTCGCTGACGTAGCAGTGAGACGTTCTTTTCTGCTGGAAACATAATCGAGGAGAAATTGACGCAGAGCTCCGCTCCTCCGCCTCACCTCCACTTCAAACACATTCATGTCGACTGTCGCCTCGCGGCTCTTTATGTAACTGTCCAGCCACTGTAAAGCAGTGTACAGAGCTGGAACGGGTTTCCTCCTCCCGCCGGGGTTTTCACGCTTCCATCTCTCTACCCTCCGCTTGGCCTTTGCAAATTTGTCACGCAGAGAGCGCCACCGTTTCCGACAGACGGACTCCTCCGTGCACAACAACTGTGAGATCTCCTTCCACGAGTTCTTCGCCATTTGACTCTCTTTGTACGGTTTGTTGGAACAGTTGTAAAGATGACTGTAATGTTTAACCGTCTCTGCCAGCTGCTCCTCAAAGTCATCCATCTCGCTAGCACAAGCTACGGCAGCGCGGTTGTATCGATATACTTCGCTGGGATCGATACATATAAACATTTCGCTAGTCKCTTACGGCAAGCCGAAAGGACCAAAATGAGCGACGGCGCGGAGCAGTCTTGATTCTCCCTCACTTTCTTCTTCTGTGCTTTTGATGCTGTACTGTCACGTGACTCAACAAGCCGAAAGGTCTGATTCAGGCAGGCAAGAAACAAGGAGAGCCCCATTGTTGTATTTATGAAACACACACTTCTATTTGAAAAAAATAGAATATGATGAAAATGTTTTTAACAGATGTTGTGAAATGATTAAGTAAAATCTCTTTAGGGGAAAAAAAAAGGTTTTTACTGTCTCAGAACAAAACATGTTATTGTGTTAATAATGTTACTTATAAACTTTAATCAGATTCTGTTCTGGCTTTTAATCAATTATTAATCTAAGAAAAAAATCACAGACACACACACACACAAAAAAGTATTGGTGATACCAGCCCCATAGTTAATAAGATTGATWGATGAAAAGGCATATAGTAGGTATGGCAAGTACATGCGCCTCATCACCTGAGAAGAAAAGACCATGGCTGATCAAGTACTTTGGGATTTAGTAGTTTAAATACAAAAATGTTCCAAGTCTCACAATAATAAGCATTACACTATGATTGTAGCGCTGCACGATGTTAGAAAATCTTGTGATGGCAATAATATTTGTAAACGTGATGACGATATCAGGTGCGATATGTCTTTTTTTTCTTTCCTACCTTCCATACTTTCTACTCTATGTGACCTTTAGCACTTTTGGCATGTTATTTGTGTCTGGTGTGAACTATTGCCACTGTTGAGACTCTGTCCTACTGGCTGAATATTGCATTAAYATGAAAAATACAACTTCAGAACTCTTCAAATACACTAGTCAACAATTATTGCATACCAAGTAGTCCTTTGCAACATGAACATATTATGCACACTGATATTGCAATGACAATATTTTGCAGCCCTAGTAAATATTAAACGAACTTATACAGCACTTTCTCAAGTCCCTATGAAGTCCAAAGTGCTTTGCACTTAAGTCATTCATTCATTCATACTGATGRTGGTAAGCTACATTGTAGTCACAGGGGCCYTGGGGCAGACTGACAGAAGCGAGGCTGCCATGCATCGACGCCACCGGACCCTCTGAACACCACCAGCAGACAAGTTGTGCGAAGTCTTGCCCAGGGACACAACGATGGAAGGAACATGGGACTGAACGTGCAACCCACCGGTTACAGGACAACTCCCCAAACCACTCTATATGTTATTTTTTGTTTTACAATCATATGGTAATATTTTGGCTAACTTATTAATTTTGCACATTTTATACTTTTGYATCATTTTTAAGCTGTTTGTTTAATGGTGTGTGGATCTATAAAAAAGATATAAAACTAAACACGTACCTGTGCCACCTGTGGTGTGGGAGACGGTGGCCCCTCCAGAAATTGTTCCATAGGGTGGTCATGTGGCAGCTGCTGAAAACCCTGGGGGAGGTACTAAAACCAAAAGCCAAACAGAATTTCAGGAGATTAGTTATGTTGTTGTCATACACAGGTTATAAGTAGCGCCCTTATGATTAATTAATTAGTTCCACCCTGATTAACACTGCAGATGCTCTGAGAAGCATGTGCAGAAATGCAAGATCGTGCGATAAAGCTAGTGATGAATCTGTAAGTCAAAACAACACAATTCATTGGAAGACCGACTCAAAATAACAGTTGAAACTGCATTGCTTTTGTTTTTCTTTTAATTCATATTTTAAAATAAAATCCACATGTTTTGTATATGCATGTGCTGCATATTTTTGATCTGTTTCTCAAACAGAAGAATAAATTTTGACAGCACTTATGTATAAATATGCCCATATATTTATTAATATGTAGTCTGTCTTTGGTGGAATATTTTGAAAATATGGATGTTGCTTGTTCCTTTTCCTGTGCAGTGTGATCTTTGTAGCTTWACTCTGCACTTGCTCTGCCGTCTGGCAAAAACAGGATCAAATCTAATTTTGGCAGACGGCTGTGCGCACGCTGACAGCAGCTCTCATTGATTAATGGTCAGAGCAGACAACGTGTAAGTTGGGGGTGAGTGTCCCCCCCCCAGATAACTGAACCTCTCACCCTAACTCTAAGAGAGAGTCCAGCTACTCATTTTGACCACTTGTGTCTCCAAAATCCTTCTTTCAGTCATTATCCAAAGTTTGTGACCATGAGTGAGGATAGGAACGTAGACTGATCGGTAAAAAGAGAGCTTTGCTCACAACAAAGACCGGAACAGCGTCTGCAATACTGAAGAAGTTGCACCGATCCATCTGAAACTCACCAATTTATATTAATCTAATAATMACTGAAACTCAGTTTGCTATTGAAGAGTCATTTTGATTTTATAGAAATGCTTGTCAGTACACATTATCATATCAGGTTTTGCCAAGGTACACTCATCTGCAGTGAAAGATGTTTCTAATAGGCAGACGCTAACCAGTGAAAGACTGTTCTACGCAGAAATTTAGCCACGATATTGTTTACATTGGCAGCGCTTCTGAACCACTATCAATGAGGTTTATGTTGAATAGAGGCGCTTCTGAACATTGACCACTATGGCACAAGAGCGTCGCCATATTGGAAGGGGCAGCCCCTTCCAATATGGCGACGCTCTTGTACCATAGTGGTCAATGTTCAGAAGCGCCTCTATTCAACATAAACCTCATTGGTTTTATACTTCAAGACGTTTCGGACGACTTTGTATCAATGACTGCTGAATTTATATTTAGATATTTTGACAGAARGGGGGGGGGGGTTGCCTTTGCCCTCCCACTGTAGCACACGTCACGCGCATGGCTAAGCTAATGAAAACAACAGTCGTGCTTTACACTCGAACGATGTTATCAGACGTTGGAAGAGATAATCCGCAATAATTTAAGATTCATAATCTACCTCAACCATTTCACTCGCACAAACGGAATTATAGCAAACCTCCACATGCGGATCAGTCATGATGCTAGCGCTCATCTCCCGGTGCTTCACGTGACCGTCCAGCCACTGCAAAGAGATGAACAGCGGAGGAACGATGACGATACTGTTCCCGTTAGGGTCTCCAGTCCGGAAAAGCATCCGCCGTTTGGCCTTCGCGAACCGGTCCCGGAGACCMCGCCAGCGCTTGCGACAGATGGACTCCTCGGTGCGCAGCGACTCGGCTATCTCCCTCCACGAGTTCCTGGTCTTTTGGATATCTTTGTAGTCCGCAGTCGTTGAGTCGTAAAGATGGCTGTACTTCCTCACGGTCTCAGCGAGCTCTTCTTCGAAGCTGTCCATCTTATCGTGAAAACAACCTGCTCCTCCTCGGAGCGGGTCATTTTTCTTTAGCGAAACGACATCGCAGAAATAAGCACGCGCTGCTCTATGTAAACAAACACGCGCACAAAGTTTTTGACCAATCAGACAATGCGGATCGTATTGTCTGCGAGACAGTTCTGATAAGCACAAGCGCGGTAGCTAACAGACGGAAGTTGCGCAATTCTCGTCACGCGAGACGTGATTTTTTTTTTCTTCTGCAAGATCTAATCAAAACGAACAGCAGAAGACAGATGATCGGGTCTAATTAATTTACTTGTTTGGTAATTTATCTTTAATTAAATAACTATTTAATAGTTGAAGTCTGATGGTTATGGATATTTTCAGTGATCCGGAACATTATAAGTGAGTTTCATAAGTTCAATCAAAAACATCTAAACTTTATTTTAAATGAATATTAAGACATTTACTTGTGAAGATTCAAGAATTTTTCTCAGTTTTAAACTGAAAAGTGTAGATTTCTATACTTTCTTGTGTGTGTGTGTGTGTGTGTGTGCGTGCGTGCGTGTGTGTGTGTGTGTGTGTGTGTGTGTGTGTGTGTGTGTGTGTTGTGTTTTTGTGTGCACTAGATGGCGTATTTGATCTTCTCTTTGCACTGCATTCATTTGGTTGTCACTGTAAACTGGTTACATGGTCCAATAAACCAATAAACGTTTTACCTGAACCTGAAAATAAATGTAGTTTAAAAACAGATAATTAGACATAAAGTATGTGACTGAGTCTGCTGATAGTCTAACATTTTGTCCAATTGTAACTAAATCATTTTTTCTCGGTTTACAATAATTTAATGTTTACTCAACCTTCATTGTAGTCATAATGAACTAAATACTATCAAGAGAAAATGGCTGTTCAAGTGTATGTTTAAAATTATCTTTAAACATGCTATCACCATAAAGAGAAAGAAGAAAGAATCATTAAGATGTTTAAAGAAGAAGCTATAAMATGTGGACCTACAGCAACTCCAATTTTTTAAAAATGCACTTTTGCTTTGATTAATTTATATTTTGCTGTAACCTAGTCAGGGTTTAGGACAACACRATGCTATCAGAAGGCCCAAATTAAAACTGGATTTAAGTAAATCATTTCGAGTAGCTGCAGCATCACATTTACAGGCTGTGATTACACCAGAGTATCAATTTTCTGATGTGAAGGTGATGGTGCGGACTTGGGACAAATCATACATTGTTTCTGCTGGGTGGGGGGTGAGGGGGGGGGGGCGTTTAGTCCTCATATGTGACAGTACAAATTACAGGGACTGCACAATGAATAACATCAATTACACGGACATCAGTTATTACCACGGGGACGTCAYGTGTGATTGCACACAGTGTTACACTGGTTATTACAGTGTAGCTGTCTAGACCATCTGTATCACAAGAGGTCCCACCGTGTTATTACTGATACCAAAAGTTTGTACAACTTCATTTATGATTATAATTTGTACATTTATTTTCTTTGATTTGGACTTCTGCCATACAATAATTACACRCAGTTCTATTAACAGGAAGGGAGGAAATGAAAGGTACATCATTTCTTTTTGACTCAGAATCATTTAAGGGCTTCTTTAAATTAGACTTTCTCATTATTAGTTTAAAAATAAGTAAAGTGTTTTCCACTGATGAATCTGTGCCATGTATATTAAAGCACATCTCAGATCAGAGGATGCTGTTTTTGTCCAGCAAAATTTGAGACACATTTTTTTTTTACGGGTGTCCTCAAGGTCCACCATCATGTTTCACTTGTTTCCCTGCTTCAACACACCTTTTTAAGTGATTAAATTATAATAATTAAGTCCTATAAGGGCTTATTCATCACCCATTTATTCAAATCAGATGATCTGGAGTAAAGAAACCTAAAAAATGCAGGATGTCGGCCCTTATGGACCAGGATTGGATTAAACTGCTACTTAGAGGGAGCTAAAGGCAAGTAACAAACCAGAAATACTAATGTAATATTTCAGTTAGGTTGTGTAATGCTTAAAAAATCATCACGTGGGAGCAAGTTTGTGTTTCTTAGTTTGAAATGAAGAGTGTTACAGAATTATCTAAATCTTCATTTCATTAGGCACATGCTCATCTTTACACTCAAAGGGATGCATGAAGAAGAAGTTATTTCAGGCCTTCAGGTGGAACAGACTGAGATCTGGAGTAAAACGCATCATGAGCTCAGCA